TAGTACTATTATAGAATTTCAATCAGAGCTTGCAACTATTTATCCTCTGAATCATGTTTTTAATGAAAGAGAAATTCAAGCATGGAGAGCAATACTCAAAGCTGCAGGTTGTACAAACATCACTCCATTTAATAATAAAGAATCAAAGGTATGCTAATTTTATAGAATTTTTATAAATAAATAAATAAATAAATAAAATTAATTTCTTATTTTTAATTTTTAGTATGAATTTTGGACCAGAGATCCAAATCCTTCATCTGATATAGAAACATTTCTTATGCTATACAATAAAGGATTTTTAAATGTTCCTGAAATTAATATTAATCAAAACAATTCAACTTGCAAATTTGAATCATGTGTTACTTCTAAACATCTAGCTACTTGTATTATTGATTCAATTAATGCAAATAAAAAAGGAGTAGATGGGAAGAGAAGGATTTTATCAATAGTAGCAGATAAATTTAGTCATGAAGAATTGAATGCATTGGAGGTAAGTTGTAATAATTCAAAAAAATTATTTTTTTATTATTTTTTTTTATTTTTTTCACTTTCTAGATAAAAGTTGCATTAAATACATTGAATGAAGCTCGGAAATTTGCACGATTAAATGGACCAGGCTGTCCAATCATTGAAAAACCTCAAATACATAGAAATAGATATTCAGAAGAATCAAAAAAACAATTTGAAATGTTTTTTTCTGATAAGTCAATTGTAAATATGAGCTCATATAAGGTTGATAGTGCTTCAAATCAGCCTGTATTATATCTTAAAGATACTAAAAAAGAACTATGGGAGAAATTCTCAACAATATATCCTAATGGTATTAAAAGGACAACCTTCATGAAAGAATTAAAAAGCCCAAGGTTTCAATATCAGGAAGATCTTGGGGGTCTTTGTTCAATCTGTAGCACTTATGGTTATGATGTTTTTGAAAATTTAATTGCTTTAGTTTCAGCAAGTAATGTATATAGTGAACAAAAGGTTAGTTATGTATGTATGTGTATATATATTGTTTGTACAAAAACATGTTATGTATAACAAATAATTTTTTTTATTGTCAATAAGTCAAATTTTATTAATAGAATTGAACATCTACGAAGGCATATGAAAATAAATTATGAAAATGAAATCAAAATTGAAAATGATGGACAACCTCACCATGATCCCTGTATA